TGGCTCTCCATCTGAGTCTATTACAAAGAAGTTGAAATTTGCGTTTTCCGTCCCAGATCCCATTGTAAATCTGACCTGCAATGAAAATCTGTCCTCCGCTAACGGATTTCTAAAGGTATCTCAGTCCTTTTCATCGGGGCATGATACTTATGCGCACCAACTGCAATAGCAACGAGTTCCCGTCTGGAAAGGACAGGATAATTTACTTTCTTCAACAGAAACCAGAGGATCAATACATGGCTTACACGATGTGGCCGGCAGTGTGAAGTCAATGGTCAAGGAGAGGCATTAGTAAAAAGTACCAATTATTCTTTCATAGGAACATTGCCACAGGCTGTCCTGTTGCCAGTGTTGAGGAACACTATGTTCAGCAAACGATCTACAGGTAAGTACCAGGTTGTACAAACGCTCATGTGAAAATAGTCGCCTAGCCATTTGAAAAAAGTATCGTTCTGTGTTTGCACAGGAAATTAATTACTTCAAAAGTAGTTCACGAACATATTGTACGTGTTGGTCCATGTGTGAATAGCTCACTCCTCCAAATCACACAGCAGTAGTGGTGCCGGCGGCTTATACAAGCGAGATTTAACATTCGTCTTGTGCCTGGGATGCCACTGCATGGCGTGCTTGCAAACTCATGCTAAGTCTCGTAGCAGGGGATTTGCACGATCGTTTTTCACGAGAGTGCATCTACCGGTACCATGTACTGCACAATGTGTAAATGCAGGCTACAGCTACTGTAGCACATCACATGCACTGGCAACTTACTAGTACTTGAGCAAGGCAGGTACACGTACATGTACATGTACGTGTACATGTACATGTACGTGTACATGTACATGTACACGTACGACTCCGGGTCGGCGTATGGCGCTATTAAGATAACTACAGTGTACATGTCTTGTGTGTTTCCAACCTTGGGAACCCTTCAATCACAAATAAATACAAACGCATTTTCCAGCGTACACCTGTACAGTCTCTCCACTTATTTTCAATGTTCTGTTTTAACGTTACCTGTGGGTAGGTCTCTTAGTGAAAGACGTCACCCGCATCAAGCACCACACTGTAACGAGAATCGTATACATGTACATGTAGCTAAGTGTATTACGTCACTTGAATGAATGCACGGCAGTACTGATTACGTCACATGAATGAATGCACTGCAGTACTGATTACGTCACCTGAATGTATGTAATGCCGTACTGTTCGAGGCGCTACTCGAGAAACGCGGAGCAAAAGCCTCTTTGAGCATGTCCATAGTGCAGTTGTGTGACACATTCTGGAGTGCTGAATCGTTCAGTATCCTATATCACGTTTTAAATCCACATGAGTCACGAAACGCTATGCGATATCATTAAGCACTGTGTTAACTAAATTACTACCACCTCGCATCTTTCAATCTTTTTTTATTTTCTCCTCAGCTTCTTCTTCTTCATAGGCTGTTGGCGGAGACTCCCTCGAGATAGGCTGAGGCCTGTGGAGAATCCGTAAATACAAAACAAATACTGGCACGGCACATGCTATGACTATGCCCTGCTGTGGGTCTGTGTGTATCCATGTACACCCATTGCAGCGCTGGACTGCAGATAGTTCAGTGCTGTGCTAGAATATGGTACTATATCCATGGCATCGATATTGCCCGGAATTTTTGGCGACGACTCTAGTATCCCGTACACACAGAGACATACGTGCACACAACAATAACAACCGTATACGAAAATGGGACAGCTTCCACAGGTGAGTCTCAATAAAACTGCCGGAGAAAAACAAGACAAAGAACAGGAGGGAAGACAAACTGGCAAAGGAAGCATAGATAATTATAGTGAATGGGATATTCTATCTCTGACCATTTGATGATGGGTCAGATAAACACACCTTCCACGCCGTAGAAGATGCATCGGCGAAGAAGGACGCGTTCCTAGGGATTCGGAAAACTAAGCCTGACTCAATCGTACACGGATGGTGAAAAAACATCCGATGACCAGGTTCCTAAGCCCTCTCGCTTAGGCGAGAAATACATATTGTGTGCTCATCACACCGCAACAGTGCAGTAAAGGACACATATGCACTTCCAAAGGGATCGTGAACGCAAGTCCAGAACTACAGTGAAGCACATACACAATTACATACACAAATGTGCCAGACATTCAGAACACCGTATGGCCTCGGGCAAAGTCATCATGGCTCCAAAGCTAATTCTAACCCAGCAGGTCAAAGTGGCAGGGGATTGAGACTGGGAAAGAAAAGGACAGCGCAAGGTGGAACACTCAACGTTAGGAGCTGTTGTCTAGGTGAGGCGTACGTACGGTAAGAAGACACCTGTGGTTATTTGGAATCCAAGGATACTTGGCCCTTCCCTGGGCATTAGACCAGCAACCACTGTAAGATCTGCACTGTCATGACGCCCATTGCCACAGCAGATGCATAGCATCTTTGATGAGATAGACACAGTCGATCCAGGATACTTTGTCTGTGCATGATATTATCATGCACAGACAAAGTATCCTGGATCGATTGTGTCCATCTCATCAAAGATGCTATGCATCTGCTGTGGCAATGGGCGTCATGAAAGTGCAGATCTTACAGTGGTTGCTGGTCTAATTATGTGTTTTCTATGTGTCTTCGTGTGTGTGCGTGTGTGTGTGTGTGTGTGTGTGTGTGTGTGTGTGTGTGTGTGCGGGCATGTCTGCCTGCGGATTTCTAAGGTTTATTTCGCTCTTACCCAAAAGCTCACCCAATTTCAGCTGCTCCTTCTGGTCTACATGTATAGGCTGCGACCCGGAGAGTCATTCGAAGCACATGTAGTCATCGCCTTGTAGACACAAAACCTCCTCACAATCTGGTATAAAAGGGTCGCTGTGATCACAAGAACGCCTGTCTGTCTGTCAGTTCAGAATTCTATTATTCTGCTGTCGGGTCAGTTTGATAAGTTTTACCATGCACGTTATTGTTTCGCACGTTAGTTTCGCGCTTCTTGCACCTACTCTCCATGTTTACCTTTTTTCGTTTTCCGTTCCATCTTGCTATGTCCAACTTTCACCAACCCCAATGTTATTGTTGAGTTGACTCTCATCGTGAACAGTGCTATACCTCTACTTTTATATTTTGGAAGTACTTGTATTAGTCAAATCGCTCATTTACTTCTGCCTGAGCTTAGCTACCCTTCTACATGTGTATCGTCCCGAAACATTGCCAGTACAAGGCTGTTTTGATATCGTGTTCGTTCAATCATTTTTCGTCCTAGGTAGTTTGTCCGTCTTCTTTTCTCTTTCATTCTACCAGTGTGTCCCCTTTTCGGAAATGACATTGGCCATCTTTCATCATCAAACCAGCCGGCTGGTTGTGAGTTGCCTCCGTGGAGTCACGTGGTACTGAGTGTATCACCTACACACCGAGCAGGGGGGGGGGGGGGGGGGGGCAGCAGCTATTCTTGCCTTTTTCTTGTTGCCCTTAAATGTGTTCCTATCTACTACGTAGTACATGTTTGACTTGTTCTCAACAGCATTTTAGACTGCTGTCATCGTGTGTATTCATCTTGGCTTTCTCTCTCCTGTAACAAGTAACAGTGTTACTTTGTACCTTGGTACAATATACATGTACATATAGATCAATGTGCAATGCTGGATCAGGCTGGTACTTAAGCCGACAAGTGCCATCTACATTTCTACATTGTAAGTCAGCCAGCACGGAAAGTAGTGGAGTTGAAGTACCCACAAGTAGTAGATCTCGAAAACTAGCGGGCAGTGCTTGTAGGACTCAAGTAGATTATTATACATGCACAGATATGACGTATAGTATCTTACTCTAGTCAAGTGCTACAGTCCATTCATTGGAAACTGGCACCCTAACCTTTTGGTGTCTCTCTCACATAGTTTAAGATATCGTGAAAACAACAGTACATCCTGCATTGTGTGACCCGTGCAATTACTCCTTGCCACATTTGAGGCCAGAAAAGTCCAAGAACAGGGAAATAGAAATTCAGCCAGGTTTTACAAAATTAGGACAGGTATGCCATGGCAAAATGTATGGAGAAGCAGATCCAAAACCCAGATTTGTGAGATTTAAAGTGGGGTTTTGATCCTCAATTCGGCCCAAATCCAACTTTCAAAAGCCAGCGGGCCAGTTTCCGATGAATGTACTGTAGGCATTGCTGACAATGCTGATTGCCCCAGCTAATGTCCCTGGCGTGCGAAAGCTACCATCCTGCGCACATTGACCGAATTCCCGTCCGCGATCAGAGAGATCAAACGGAGAACATGGAACATAATCAGCCGACAGTATTTTCCAAGCTGTCCTTCACTTTTTTGAAACCAATATTTTGCAACACTCTAGTTGGCCAAGCTGTCTGGTCTTCGGTGTTGAAGTGGAGATCAATGAATGGCAAAATTAATGATACATTCTTCGCGTCTCTCATGCACAGGGCAAAGCCAGCTTTAGGGCGCTCGATTGGTGGGATCCGCAACAGGATCGTTCAGAACAAACGCGTTTGATTGGTCTGCACTGAGGTTTTAGAGTGTTCGGAACATGTTCTCACCATTGCAGCGCTGGACTGCAGATAGTTCAATGCTGTGCTGGTACCATGGTACTGTATCCATGGCATCGGTATTGCCAGGAATTTATGGCGACGACTCTAGTATCCCGTACACACAGAGACTAACGTGTACAAAATAATAACAACCGTATTCAAAAATTGGATAGCTTCCACTGGTGAGTCAACAAAACTGCCTGAGAAAGCCAAGACAAAGAACAGAAGGGAAGATAAACTGGCAAAGGAAGCATAGATAATTTTAGTGAATGGGATATTCTATCTCTGACCATTTGCTGGTGGGTCTGATAAACACACCTTCCACGCCGTAGAATATGCATCGGGGAAGAAGGACGCGTTCCCAGGGATTCGGAAAACTAAGCCTGACTCAATCGTACACGGACGGTGAAAAAACATCCGATGACCAGGTTCCTAAGCTCTCTCGCTTAGGCGAGAAATGCATTTTGTGTGCTCATCACACCGCACTATTGCAGTAAAGGACATATATGCACTTCCAAAGGACTCGTGAACGCAAGTCCAGAACTACAGCGAAGCACATACACAATTACACACACGAACATGCCAGACATTCAGGACACCGCATGGCCTCGGGCAAAGTCATCATGGCTCCAAAAACTTATGCTAACCGAACAGGTCAAAGTGGCAGGGGATTGAGACTGGGAAAGAAGAGGACAGCAGAAGGTGAAACATCCCAACGTCACGAGTTGTTGTCTAGGTGAGGCATACGGTAAGAAGACACCAGTAGTTATTTGGAATCCAAGGATACTTGGCCCTTCCCTGGGCATTAGACCAGCAACCACTGTAAGATCTGCACTGTCATGACGCCCATTACCACAGCAGATGCATAGCATCTTTGATGAGATAGACACAGTCGATCCAGGATACTTTGTCTGTGCATGATATGTGTCTTCTATGTGTCTTCGTGTGTGTGCGTGTGTGTGTGTGTGTGTGTCTCCCGCTTCTGGGAGCGGCGTGGCCCGATAGGGTAGCTGTACATAGTAGTAGTAGTAGTAGTAGTAGTAGTAGGAGTAGTAGTAGTAGTAGTAGTAGTAGTAGTAGTAGTAGTAGTAGTAGTAGTAGTAGTAGTAGTAGTAGTAGTAGTAGTAGTAGTAGTAGTAGTAGTAGTAGTAGTAGTAGTAGTAGTAGTAGTAGTAGTATTAGTAGTAGTGTGTGTGTGTGTGTGTGTGTGTGTGTGTGTGTGTGTGTGTGCACGTGTGTCTGCCTGCGGGTTTCTAAGCTCTTACAAAAAAGCTCTCCCAGTTTCAGCTGCTCATTCTGGTCTACATGTATATGCTGCGCCCCGGAGAGGCATTCGAAGGACATTGTAGTCATCGCCTTGTAGCCACAAAACCTCCTTACAATCTGGTATAAAAGGGTCATGTTGAGCTGATTTCTCTACGAAACCAAGCACAACAGTTAATGATCACCAGATACCTTCTGAGCTGCTGTTGTTCAAAGCCGGCTTTGTTCATTATTAAAAATCGTCTCTTCGCTCAGTAGTAGGATAACAATGATGCGCCTTACCATTCCCCTTGCGTTTGTTCCGTTCTGTGCCAGTACCACCATCCATCTCCACACAGTCTTCACCGCCCGGACCCACGTTGTTTGGCTCGCCCTCCAGAAAGTTGTTGATCACAGCGGGCCGCCCAGAGACATCTACGAACCTTCCCTCGGTTTTGAAATCATTGTAGAACAACCAGACACCAGGAACGCCTGTGAATGGGCGGATGAGATTCTCTAGGACAATGAATTCTTGCATGTTCCTCGGACTGGCCAGATCTCCACCATTCCGTCGGCAGTTGCGGCGCGCTTGTTCACGGGTCATGGGGCGATTCTCGTAGCGGTAGATCAAAAGTCCAGTTCTTGGGTTTCTGCAACACTGGACAGTCATTGAAGCTGTTCTTGGCTCACGCTTTCCCACAGCACTGGAGGTGCTATTGACCTTCTTTGCAGTTGTGTAATCTCCTGCTGCACGTCGCTCCTCCGCCAGTTGGCGTGCCTGATCAATCTCTTCTCCGGCCATAGAGGCCAAGTACTCTTCAGCATAGCGCTTACTCTTATCCGCGGTAATGTCGTCAGCCAAAGTCATTGAGACCAGGCACAGAACAAATGCCAGATCAATGGTAAGACGCATCATGGTTGAGTTACTGGTGTCTGGTTGTTCTACAATGATTTCAAAACCGAGGGAAGGTTCGTAGATGTCTCTGGGCGGCCCGCTGTGATCAACAACTTTCTGGAGGGCGAGCCAAACAATGTGGGTCCGGGCGGTGAAGACTGTGTGGAGATAGATGGTGGTACTGGCATGTTTAACGATGCTCCATGCTCACAAGGACGCCTGTCTGTATGTCAGTTCAGGATTCGATAATTCTGCTGTCGGGTCAGTTTGCTAAGGTTTGTGATGTACATGTATGTGAATGTTACACGCGTTAGTTTCTCGATTCGTGCACCTACTCTTCATGTTCTCCTCTTTTATTTTCGTTTCCCTTTGCACCTTGCTGTGTCACATTTTCGTTACACCAACAGCACATAATGTTGTTGGGATGTCTGTCGTTGGGAACAGTGCTCTAGGTCAATCCCTCTAATCCTTAGCAAGTCTAGATCATTGCGTTCATCCATTGTTGGCTTAGCCACCCTCCCCCCCCCCCCGCCCTCACCGAAACATTGCTATTAATTTATTGTTTTTTCTGACATCTTGTTCACTCAATTGGCTTTTTTCCTCGTTAGATTGTCTGTCTTCTTTTCTATTTCATCTTATTGGTGTGTCCTTTTTTTCGGATCTTACATTGGCCATCTTTCCACGTGATGTAGTCATTCTAATAAAAATAATATAATAAATCGTATCATCAAACCAGTCGGATGGTTGCGAGTGGCCTGCGTGAAGTCACGTGGTAGCGAGCATACCACCTACACAGTGGTCTTGTTTGCTCAGCCCTATAGTGGGTATTGTGATTGCAGAGGGTGGTGGCCGGGGGGGGGGGGGGGGGGGAGGGTGGAGGAGGGGGTACTTTGGCAACCACGAAGCATTATAATCAGAGAACAGGTAGCATCCTCGAAGTACACTGATGAACCACTGTAAGTCGATAGAGATGTTAACAAGTACCATCACATCGCTCTGTTCTTTAGTCCTCTAGCGGTTATTATTTTTTCTACATTTTGCGTTGGCATCGCTAAGCAAGCTTGGCTAGCCTCCGCATAAGCTGATCCATGATGACGTGACAAAACAAGTAATGCATGTTCATGTATTTAAAGGCGGGTGATGGTCAGCAGGAAGCTGCCTCTACGAAGGACAGAACAAATGTTGGGGAGGTTTAAATAAATGAGGTACGAGTTGGTTTTAGGAACCCAGGACGTAGGATAGAAGCCAGATTGAAATGTTCTGAGGGTGTTCCATGATTTTTGTAGTATAACAGGTTATACATTTTATTTCAACAAGTATGTTGTTTACATTTTAAGGCCTCTTTTACAGGAAACAACTTTTGCGGAATATGTTGGTAAGCAAGTTAATTAAAGATATGATACTGCCGGCGGGGCAGGGTGGGGGGTAGTCATGCATCGGCAGGTACAAAGAGATGAGCACTTCGTAAACGTAGCTGTGGTTGGCGTGTTGTACATGCAGCTGCTGCAGGTGAAATCAGCACTATAAAGTGTCATTTACTCATATCAAATGCTTTCAAAAAGAAGTTGAAATTTGCATTTTCGGTCCCAGTTACCATTGTATATCTGACCTGCAATGACTATCCTTCCTCCCCTTACGGATTTTCAAAGGTATCTCAGTCCTTCTCATCGGGGTATGATATCTATGCTCACCAACTGCAAATGCAACGAGTTCCCGTCTGGAACGGACAGGATTAATCAGATGATCAAGACATGGCTTACATGATGTGACCGGCAGTGTGAAGTCCATGGTCAAGGAGAGGCATTAGTAAAAGTACCAAACATATTCTTTCATAGGAACATTGCCACAGGCTATCCTGTTGCCAGTGTTGAGGAACACTATGTTCAGCAAACGATCTACAGGTAAGTTCCAGGTTGTACAAACACTCATGTGAAAATAGTCGCCTAGCCATTTGAAAAAAGTATCGTTCTGTGTTTGCACAGGAAATTAATTACTTCAAAAGTAATACACGCACATATTATACGTGTTGGTGCCAGGTGTATATACATGTTTATACCATGGTACGGTACGGAGGGCCTGTTTTCAGCCAATCAGCGCTCGTCTAGCCATGGTTATATTGGCCAGTATAAATCCCGCGCGGGATTTATATAGAATATAAATCCCGGTGCACGGTACGTACGCTAGGGCACTGCCACCGTACAAGTTCACTGCCTGAAAGGCAGTGAACTTGTACGGCGGCAGTACTCCAGCGCACGGACCATACATAAACAGACACAACGGACACCACATGCGCGTGTACACTCCACACAGAACGGCACACTGACGAGGAACAGTACACAATGGAAAAGAAGAATGACCTGGAATTCGTCTACAGAGTATTCTGTTATACTGAATCTGAGGATAAAGAACGTCGAATAACCACGAAGTATCCCGAATGGGTCAGCAATGTACATTGTACTTCGAAGAGTTGAAGATCATCAACGGACTGTCTCCTTCGTAAATAAGTTTATAATACCAGTGTACATGTACTTCAACCCGATTGGAAAAGGCTACAAAAGATTGGATTGAAATGTGATACAAAACAGTGTATGCACATGCATCTACTTGCAAGCAAAACTGATTATGAGATGCCGCATGTGAAAATCAGCACTGTACCATAATTATAGTAACACTTACTCCCAAAGAGTCCAAGCTGTAATCTAACTAGTGACGGTAGTTTGATTCAACGACAAACTCCAGCACCGCAGCAATTCAGTCGACTTCCGCACCGCACCGCTCACGACTCAAGACAAGATCATGAAGATGCTACAATATGCACTGGAACTGAAAGGAAATCTTATGCCAAACATCCACGGAGGAATCTCCTTCTGACCTTGCTCGACCATTCTTTCAATTGACAACTGATAACCATCAGAAGATGTTCATGTACTGCATGATGTAGGAGATCTCCAAATAGGTTCGTTGTTCTGGAAATGCGTAGGGGTACCTGGCATAAGTAGGATATGACCCTCGTAGTCGGGTTATACCGTACCCTCATATAAATCCCTCCTGCTATCGCAGTCGGGATTTATATTCAGCCGGTATAACCCTCTGACTCGGGTTATATCCTCTACAGCTCACTCCTCCAAATCACACTCTCTTTTGATTCTGCATGATCTTGACTCTGTACAAACATTCTGGTACTATGACCGCATATTTTGACCCCCAGTCTTACGGTTTAGTACATTAGTTCAACTTGTACAACTTTTTTGACATTTGTTACACCTGTCTGCAACTCAAGTTATTGCGCCTTTAAACTTGCTTGATAGCGCATTTACCGCCCAAGCACCCATCTGGCACATAGAATCAAGCCCTATATAACTACTAGTCTTTATTCATGTCATTTCATCCTTGTCTCTGACGAAGCCTTACAGGCAGAAACGCGTAAGATTAATGGATCATAACTATATATAAAGACTTGACCTTGCTGTGTGTGTGTGTGCTGTGTCGGAGGACCTTACATCCTACCACAGCAGTAGTGGTGCCGGCGGCTTGTACAATCGAGATTTAACATTCGTCTTGTGCCTGGGATGCCACTGCATTTCGTGCTTGCAAACTCATGCTAAGTCTCGTAGCAGGGGATTTGCACGATCGTTTTTCACGAGAGTGTATCTACCGGTACATGTACTGCACAATGTGTAAATGCAGGCTACAGCTACTGTAGCACATCACATGCACTGGCAACCTACTTGTACATGTACATGTACATGTACGACTCCGGGTCGGCGTACGGCGCTATTAGGATAACTACAGTGTACACGTATTGTGTGTTTCCAACCCTGGGAACCCTTCAATCACAAAATAAATACAAACGCATTTTCCAGCGTAGACCTGTACAGTCTCTGCACTTATTTTCAATGTTCTGTTTTAACGTTACCTGTTGTTAGGTCTCTTAGTGAAAGACGTCACCCGCATCACATATGTTCGAAGACTAGTCAAGCCATAGGTATAATATACTCACACCGCGCCCATCTTCCTGACAGCTGTCGTGTTCTTTTCTATAATGCATATATCTTGCCACATTTTGACTACTGATGATGTACTGCCTGGACAAATCTATCTATTGCCCAACAGCAGAAACTGGAAACTCTCAATCGTTCCCTCCTTAAGATTCTTTATCATATGCCCAAGTCCCTTTCTAGTGTCGCTCTCTATAATTATGTTATCCTCGACCAGACCTCTCCTAGAAAGACGATGAATCATGATGTGCTGTCTTATCCATCGTATTCGACTTTCCAAAATACCCCCGCATCTTAAACCATTTGACTCGTTCCGACGGGATAACTCCACTAGGAACCAACTCTCCCTTCCTCTAGCCCGCTCTTCTGCATTGCTACACAATGCCACAGCAGATGCATAGCATCTTTGATGAGATGCTATGCATCTGCTGTGGCAATAGGCGTCATGACAGTGCAGATCTTACAGTGATTGCTGGTCTAATGCCCAGGGAAGGGCCAAGTATCCTTGGATTCCAAATAACCACAGGTGTCTTCTTACCGTACGTATGCCTCACCTAGACAACAGCACCTAACGTTGAGTGTTTCACCTTGTGCTGTCCTTTTCTTTCCCAGTCTCAATCCCCTGCCACTTTGACCTGCTGGGATAGAATTAGTTTTTGGAGGCATGATGACTTTGTCCGAGGCCATACGGTGTTCTGAATGTCTGGCACATTTGTGTATGTAATTGTGTATGTGCTTCGCTGTAGTTCTGGAGTTGCGCACACGATCCCTTTGGAAGTGCATATGTGTCCTATACTGCACTGTTGCGGTGTGATTAGCACACAATATGTATTCCTCGCTTAAGCGAGAGGGCGCAGGAACCTGGTCATCGGATGTTTTTTCACTGTCCGTGTACAATTGAGTCAGGCTTAGTTTTCCGAATCCCTGGGAACGCGTCTTCTACGGCGTGGAAGGTGTGTTTATCAGACCCATCAGCAAATGGTCAGAGATAAAATATCCCATTCTCTATAATTATATATGCTT